GACAATATGAGAAGTATGACACTATTTTCAAGTGGGTGTACTCAACTGTGAAAACAATTAAAGATTTCATGTTTGACTGATTGGTGTAATGATGTAAACAACCTCAGCAATGTCCTGCCCAGCTGCCAATACCAGAGGTATGGCATTGTTTTTCAGTGGGTGTTATCAACTGTGGATCAATGAATGTTATCTTTGGCTGAATGGGTGGGTTGAGGTAAACCACCTTCACAATGTCCCACTTAGTTGCCAGCATCCTCATTGGTTGATTTCTGAGTGTCATAATGAATGATATACACAAAATCATTGGCAGGGAGGACTGAGGATGTACAGCTACTGCTGCTCTTGACTATTACTACTGAGGTTTTAGCCAATTATTGGCACTCCTTTGACAAGGACTTTTATTTGACATATTTATTGTCAGTGGTAGTTGGGATGGCCAATTAACTTGAGGCACAGTGCTGTGGTTTTGATAATCCTTGATGATTTCCAGACATCATTCTTTTTAGATAATAAACAATTTTTAGACACCACAGTTTATACAACAAATAGAAGATGAATGGTGGTGGCTGGCAGAAAGCTTAAGGTTCAGTGTACTTGACCTTACCCTCATGCAAGCATTTAATTCAATTAGACTCATTCAGCTAAATTTAATTAATAAACAAAATAAAAAAAAACAACCTGTTCTGCATCCATGTTTGGAACTTCAAAACACATGCTTGGTTGATGATTATCCTGGTCAGTTCTTCAGGCATCTTTTTTTTTTTAAAGTAGTTTCCAATGTTTAACATAGATTCTCTAATGTTGCGGTACATAGTCAGTTCATCAGTTAATAAGGGTAGGCCTATTTTTGTGTACATCGATGTACGTGTGCATGTTCCGATCAGTCTTCAGGTGAAATGAAATCACTGTCACTTAATACCAGCAAGGCTGTTTGTTTTTTCATAGAGATACAAGCTTTTTAGATGCTCTGCCCTCTATTTACATTGATGGCAATGAAATATCGAGTACCCACATTACTCAATTCTTGGGTGTTGTGCTTAATAATCGCCTTACTTAGAGTGACAACATTTCTTAAATTACTAAAACTATTTCCTGTAATACAGGTTTTCTTTTGAAGCTTCGCACCTTTCTGCAACGAATTACATTTACAATACACTTATTCTTCTGCGCCTGAATTACTGCAACATTGTATGGGCACGATCAAGTACTAACCAACTACACTCGCTCAGTGTAATACAGAAGCGGGCCATCAGACTTTGCACTTTTTCACAACCTCTAAGTCATTCTGCACCTCTATTGCTAAACTTCAAACATTAACGCTTGAAGATATTAACAAACTCCAAACCGGGATCTTCATGTTCAAGTATAGTAAAAAAATTCTTCCTCCTGTAGTTTCAACCTATTTCAACTCTATCTGTTCACAACATGCATGGAAATAACACACGTTCTATCAAAAATCTTTATGTCCCATACACTCGCACAACATTTTCAATGGAAAAGCTTTGTTTTCATGGTCCCCGTCTTTGGAAAAGCTTGAATGCAAACTTGAAAACAAAGGCTTCTGTGGGCTGCTTCAAATCTGCCTTTAATCAATATCTCCCTTTACATATCATAGTTCACTCCGTCGTGAAAATGTTCTTTTTTAAAATTTTTTTATTTGTTTTTTGATGTTATTCCCCTTTTATAAAAATCAAATGTACTGTTGGATAATTTTGCTTTACTTCAGTCTAGTGTCATTCAGTCCATTGTCATACAATTTTAGTCATATACTTTGAATTGCTTATCTCATCATTTGGTAATTGTGACTGTCTCAATAATTTATTTTGGCATGTTTACATTTGCCTAATGTCTCATGATTCATCTACACTTTATTTCTTCACATTATCTCTGCCATTAAACTGTTTTCATTGCCTTATATTGCATGTGATTGTAATGAACTTGTTTATTGGCTTATGTAATAACTACTGCCTCGCTCTTCATCTTCTCTTTCTCTTAATTTTTCTTCTTTTGCTGAGTCACATGAGATCATTTTACATGGCCTCATTTATTTTTCCATCCCTCGATGCTTACTTTCATCCCATGTATATTGTATTTTTGTTTGTCTACTTGTTATTTTGTCACTGTTAAATGTTCTGTTTTAGTGTTTGTCAAGGCATCTCCATATAAGCCCTTGGCTTCGGAAGATGCTCCCATAATTGTTGATGACTTCATTGATTCCTGGTCCCAATATATCCATGTGTATATTATTAACTACATGTATATTTAATTTATTCTGTTGTATTGTATTGGAATCTTTCGGCATTATGGAAATAAAGGTTGCTTGCTTGATTGATTGATTGATGTACTAAAAATCAGTCTGATCTGTTTAAATCTAAAGACAATCTTGAATACAAAAGTTGTTTTAGGTAATCGCACATCCGCTGAAAGTCAAACAACAATGATGGACGAACTTTTTGATATGAATACAGACACTCTGAGGTAGTGCTGCATCTGAAGGGTACCCTCATCTTTCCCAAACTGATTATGGTGTTTGCTAATATGCAAGTACTGTTCAAGGATTGAATTTATTTTATGAATTAAAGTACTTTCAAGGCTTTCAATGTCTATGGAAACCCTGTCAACTGGTTTTCAATGTCTATGGAAACCCTGTCAATTGTGACTTGAAACAACTTACCACTGACATTCTCGTTTAAAATCAGGTGCATAAGTTGATCAAATGACTCATCTTTGCCCTTCAGCCAGCAGTCACTGAGGGCACTATCCATGGCTTTGATCAACCACTCAGGCATGTCAGCTACATCTACCGAGGCCTATCATATTTGAATTATCACACAACAAAGAGGGTTTAATACCCTATTAATCTTGTGATTGTGTGACACACTTTGGCGGTATATGGCTGAACAACATTTTGGAATACATTTGATGATTTAAAATAACTTATGAGGTAATGGTTTCACATTGCATTGAACATACATATAGTGGATCTTTCTAGCACAGCTCTTGCTGTTGGAAATGTGTCAGAAATGTGTCCCTGACAGTAATGGTGGTGTTCTAAACACAAAGACATATACTTGTTACACTGAATGACCAAATGATTGGATGTGAATTATGACACCAATGTCTAAGCATTTGACACTTACATCCAACAATGCCTTGTCACTGTTTGCCCTACTCAGCCCACTGACAGCAGCAAGCTCCTCAGACAGTTTACTAACAACATCATCTTGCTCAGTTGATGCTACACTGGTAGCACTACGTTCTTTGTACCATTCATTCAGCTCAACAGTCTGTTTGGCTACTAAAAAGGAAAGAAATAGTCAGTGATCAAGTTGAAGAATTAATTTAGCAATTTATCAGCACAACACAGACATTTAAATAATATCAGAATAAAGAAACGAATGCAATGTTTAAACAAACTGGGAACAAAAAGGTTTCAGACTGGAACATGTAAATTTTAACACATATTTTTATACTAACAGTTTCTGATTTCATTTTCAACAATGTAAGCACATTAGCACAGGCATACAATATCAACAATTTAAGAAAATATTTGAGTTATTTTCTAGTTAAATCTAATGGTGAACCTCTAGTCCAGCCCAATAGATAAGTCCCATTTGTTATTTCTTGATTTTAAATTCCTGCTCCACTGTATTCCTGATTTCAGGCACGATATGTATATGAGGCTAATCACGTCCCCAACTATGTTCTGATGATTTTGGTTTTGTTTGGGTAAGTTATTGCTTACACTTTGCCTTGTCTCTCATGAACTTTTTCATTTTGTCGTTGGTGTAGCCAGTGCTGCATGAAGAGAAACAACAGAAACCTGTTAAGTTAACCTCTTGATACATATTTGGGGAGTGAGGTTGATGTTGTGTTTCTTTGATTGCCTTCCATCTCTGCGGGCCTGGGTTCAAACCTGGCTCTTTCCACATGTGGATTGGGTTTTCAGTCCCTACCTGAGTCTGTAGGTTTTCGACGAAATATTTATCCAGGGTTTTCCTCCTACCTCTCAAACTGAACATTTCTTCATTGTATTCTTCACTCATTATCACTCTGTAATTGACGCTAAAATGGATGATCACATATAAATAAATATTTGCTGGTTTGAACATGAAATCTTGAATGATACAGGTGTGGTATTGCAGTATGCAATGGCAGCAATTAAAAGATCATTCAGCAACACCAAAAGTACAGGAGGATATGTCAAAGGATAAAAAAGGTGAGAATTTGAAAGGAAATTATCACTAAATTATTCCTTACCATTTCAATGCATCCTCAAGAAAAAGTTCCTCAACATCAAAGATTTTACCAGGAACTGAAGAAATTTGTCAAATGGAAAATCAGATTAAATATGAAAACAAGTCAAAACAAGTCACAAATTTAAAAATATGTATAACTTTTTTCAACACTTTTTCTCAATGTTTTATGAAATGCCCCTTCCGGTCTTATCTACATGTACATTGATATTTAATTAAACATACCACTTAACAGAGGGCAGTTGTTGAAGTATCGTATGAAGAGCTCTGTATCAAGGGCAGCACTCATGAGGATAATCCGTAGATGCTTCTGTTTTACTAAGATTTCTCTCAGTTGAATCAGGAGGAAATCACAGAAACGATCTCTCTCATGAACCTCATCCTAAAAAAGATGTTATGAGAATAATTTAAAATGCCTGTGTATGATTTCTCTCAGGAAACTCATTTTGAGACACCAAAAGTATGCCGTCTTAAGGTTTGTTGTTACATGCTGATAGAAATACTTAGCTCTATGATTCAATAAGAAATCACCAAAACAGTTTCCTAGTTAGATTCAAGCCTGAAAACTACTGAGATGTATGTCAGATAACATGTAATTATGTGTTTTGAAAAAAAAATTCCTCAAGATGCTGGCACTTTTGAACAGTCAAACATAATTTTATGTGTACGTCATTGTAAACATCAGGTTTTTTGTTACTTTTTATCAAAGCTTGAATAATATTGATGTTGACAGATTAATAACAATACACTGTAAGTTTGCAGCTATGATCAGAGAGTGTTTAAAATCTTATTTAATATTCCATTTATGAATGGAACAGTGGTACAGATAACTTGGAATAAAAAACAGCCAGTCATGACAACTTGCAAAATCTCTTGTTTATTATTACAAAATGCTACCATGAATTTCTGGGGTGGCCCATTTTGAATAAAGTAACAAAAATAGATATGGCTACTTACAACAATGACATGTGTAACAGACTGAAGTGCATTATCACCAGACATGAGGGTACGCAGAAGAACACCATTTGTACAGAATGTCAGCAATGTTTTAGGTGACACTCTATGAAGATACAAAGAAAAATAAAGTGAATCTGACATGGTTTTACTGTCATAAAATTGGGTTGAGGAAATTCTTCTGATACAATGATGAATGGTTTTAACAACTTAGGTAAAGCTACCTGTAGTCTGATAAATAAGAATAAGGGGAAATTGGTACAGTTAACTGCATGGACAAAAATGATCAAACAATGTAAAATAACTTACTTGACACATTGACTACTGAGCATGATTTCGAAGGGGGTCCCATTTGCAAAGTGCTGTACGCATGCATGCATAATTAACAGTACCTTTCTGGTGTCTATTTGAACATGAGCATTTCACAGATGTACACCCTCCATTGCCACCAGTAAATTTGCTGTACTCTTTGGTGATGCCAGTGTATTCAAATAACATAACAATAGCCTTTCATTTCCTATGAATTTATATTCATAGTGGCAGAATTCAGTACACCTGTATCTATGAGTATCCTCATAGTCGACAGTTAATGTGTTAAATGTCTTTTTGTAGATAAAGTCATCACATGTAAATAATCTTGGAGATTCGGAATCATTACAAATTTGAAGATAACCAAAAATTAAAGAACTACTAGAGGGTTTATTTGGCTTTACTATCCATGCTATCGAGACCCTGGGAACTAAGCATAGAAGTGAAAATTAGCAGACAAATACTATTTATATAGCTGTCCAACAACAGAAAGTTTTCCATGCAAATGTAAAAAGCTGCGAGTTTACATGATAAGATACATGTAAGGTAAACTTTTTCTTACCTGCTTTCTAATCTGATCTGATATCCCACTGTTTGTCCAATGCTTTCACCTCTCTCTGTGGCAACCCTTTCCGCTATAGACAGAGCTGACAATCGACGAGGCTGGGTGCACAGTATACGACAGCTATGTTTTTTTTGGCAACATTCATCCAGAATAAACTGTGGGACCTGAATTTGCATCAACAGAGAAAAAATAACATATGGTAATCAGAAGGCAATCAGAAGGGCTAGCACAAACAAGTCCAATTAAACAGTTCGTACGGGTTTAACCACTTCCTGCCAGGGACTCCGGAATCGGAGATGTATGCTTTATATGTGTCGCCGGGGTCTCTGAACTCCGACAAAGGAAACAGGGCCCTGTGACAAAAGACTGTACTCCGAACAAAAGACCAGACTGCTGGGCATTATCAACATTTTTCACTCTCGAAAGTGGTGATAATCCAGCCTTGTTTTGAAACCGTATATCAGGGTTTGGGGCATTGAGAGCGAGCGGATTACCACCGGGGACAAAAGCGCTCCACCATCGCAGCGATGAGCCACACAGCACCGCTGCATGCTTATCTGGCCCCTATTGAAAAGAGGTCAGCAGTGCACTGAGTCAGGTTTGTGAACAAAAGAAAGTTACATGTACATAACACCGCACAATCTGGGCTCTTTTTACAAGGCTGCTAGCCTGGCTGAAATACTCGGGCATCAATGAAGGTCACCTGTCAACTTAGAGTAGTGCCTAAAGATTACTTCGTGCGGCTATAAACGTCTGTTAAATGAAATGATGAATCTTTTGAAAAATTTTGAAAATGGAAAAAATGATAACCATGCCGGCCCAGCATCAACAACATTGAAAAATGCCCCGACATGAAGTGGTTAATGTGTATGATGGCCAGGAGTTAATTACACGACAATAGCTTTTCCCTACTATTCCCATCTACTTTATATTCAGACATTTCATTTTTTATCCATCAATTTGATTAGAATCTCTCCCATGGATCAAAGACACTCTCCCATGTTCTGTGGATCAAAGAAACTCTCCCATGCTCAACGGATTAAAGTAAATGCAGATACCTGTGTGGTCTTGCCAGACCCTGTTTCTCCACAGATCATGGATACCCTGTGCCTGTTCATCATCTGCAAGATCTCATCTCTCATTTGATACACTGGCAAGGTCTGTCTAAATACATCTAGATCAGAGGGAGCCCTCCTTGGTGGAATCTGCGGAATGCCATTATTGAGTCTACCTGTGGTCTTAGGGATATCTCTGGCTTGTCCACCTAGCATCAGACAAATTACGTGTTATGTCAAGGTAAAAAGGACACCTGTTTCTAATGCATTTATTAAAATTCTAAAATTACATGTATGTGTACTTGTCTATAAACTTATTTACAAATAGGTGCACATGATCCTTAGTGAAATCACCAAAATGCAACTGACTCTGGAATCAACCCTGGTTATTACAAAGTTACTGAGAAAAGCTAAATGACCATGTTGTAATCACGAACTTGTTACTCAAAGGCTGGTAAAATAATGAAAAATACAATGATCTAAGCCAAGGTTTACCTGTTACACCAAAGACTCTTCTTTCCATTCGAGGCTGAAGCTCCTGTTTCTCCTTTTGAGTGACTGGAAATCGTTGAAGTAAACCATGAGATTCATTGCGAGAATCGCGAGTCAGATCAAATGTTGTTACACTGCCTTGCTTGGTGTTCTCCTTTTTGTACAATGTCAGGTAGCGACTGGCTCCTTTACTGTGAAGAAGACAAATGGAAGTAAAATAGAATCTACACCTGGATTTTGCCCTATGGAGTACTTATAAAGAGGCCCTCAACAGACAACTTGTTTACAAATTGTATGAAACTGCTGAAATAACTGCATGAGCTACTAAGTGTTCAAACAGCTAAAGTTTGATGGACCGTACATGTAGTAGAGTAATTCCAGAAATAAGGGGTCCAAAACTGTGGCATTATTGTGTCCCTGTCACATCTGACCTTTGTTATTTGACTTGGAAATAACACCGGAATTGATTTCAAACTATTACTACTTGCATTGTTTCATCACTCTCGGAAATTAGAAAACGTGTTCTGAACTTACAAAATCAAATGTCAGATGTGACAGGGACACGAAAAACAAATGGACCCCTAATTTCTGGAATTACCCAGTAGCATTTCCTTACTGCCTGCATCTGACAACTCTGGTTCCAATGACACAATGGATTCATTCTGCTGTAACATAAGTATCATCCATTCCATAGTGTAACTTACAAAGGATTTATGTGCAGCGATTAATTGTAACTAAATAAAATGGATTTGCTTGAAACATGTTATTGTGGCAGGACAACTGACACTTTTTTGTGGCCGACCAGCAGACTGGCCTGATCGGAGATAGAATTGACCTGGCCAAACCCCACAAATGTATTTATTTAACCTTACACAAGAAGCGTCTATCCAGATGCAAGGGGGATATCAGTTACCGAATGGTGGACTACATGTATGCCTTAAGGGCTGTTCATTTGGTGGAAATTTACCACTACTCTGTGATTAAGTAATTGATTCCAAGTTCAATAAAGGTTACAATAAATGCCAATACATGTGATGATACAGGACTGGACTAAATATCCGGTGACAAGTGATTCCAAAGACAATTATATGATGGGCTTATTCGATTTCAGAGCTTCAGTTACTGTTCATATACAAAAGCAATTAATTATGTACCAAATGATCCTCACAGGTAGCTCGTCCTACGTGGTCAACGAAGGCAGACCCTGGCTCTTGTATATATGGTAATTGGCCTTTGTGTGTAGCCCAGAAATGAAAAGACCGAACTTGCATCATAATCACCAACTTCACAATAGTCCCCACTTTGAAAAGAGGCAACACGGAATGTGGAAGCTTGAGTAGAGCCTCATGCCACCGAACAATCAGCCTTTTCACCATGTAATTCAAAGCATGCACAGCACGCAGGGCCACAAACCGAGAATTTGCGGTTTGGCAGGTGGCCTTCGTGGCCAAGTGAGGCTGGAATTCTTGGAGTCGGCTTTCGGAAAGAAATTCCCGTCATCAAGGGGTTAATGATGAGGTAACCCCTACGTCAAGAGGTAACCCTCAAGTCAACAGGTAACCCTCGAGTCTACATAATCTACCGATGGCTTACAATGACGAGTCTTGACCACACAAGCAAAGACAACCTTCGTAATTATACAGCACAACAGGGTAGACTTACACAGCAATAATCTATACTGCCTTACGAAGCAACACAGTTCCCAAACTGCAACAAGGTTTTAGGTGACTTCAGTAACCCTCACCCACTTCAAGTTATTATGCCATAACACAGGGTTAGTCCATCAACCACTTCATGCCGGGGCATTTTTCAATGTTGATGATGCTGGGCCGGCATGACTGTCATTTTTTTCCATTTTCAAAATCCTTCAAAAATTCATCATTTCATTTAACGGTCGTTTATAGCCGCACCAAATAATTTTTAGGCACTACTCTAAGTCGACAGGT